CCGACGAGAGAGAGAGAGAGAGAGAGAGAGAGATAAGAGCGGGGGTCAAATGCAAATGAAATAAAATCGAGACCCATGTTCCACTCACATTTGGGGGAGAGAGTGGAAAGAGGGAGGCAGGGGAATTGAGTGGGATGAAGAAAAAAGTGTACAATGTATATTCAAGAAAGCATCAATTAAACTAAAGCATGCATGCATACGAACTGGCACACACGCACATACGTAGAGAGAGATGGATTCTTTCCAAAAGCCAAAGTGCAACCATCAAAAAGACCTGAACATGAACATGGATATATTGTCAAAAAAAAAACAAACATAATTGAACATGGATATTCATTTGTAGAGAATAAACAAGAATCCTACACCACTCCCAAACATTCAATATTGCTTCTTTTTTCTTTGAATGACAACATTTGGCATTGCTTCTTATTTTGTGACTCCTTTCATGGCTTTAGTATCTTAATCTGGTTTGTAATTCATGCTTTCACATCACAAAATGTAATCCAAATCACCCATCACATCCTATCCTCATCACAATTTTACGCACCGAACCCAATTTTGTTCGAATTCATCAGCAATTTGGAATATGATGTCATGTTTTCAAAGTCGTTTAGCCATTTTTTGTACCCCAAATTCTAATTCCATTATCTTCCACGATTTAATGGAAACCACTAAATATGAGATTAGATGACCTGTAAAAACAAAATTTTCTGACTTTCCCTCATTTACATAATGCCAGTCTTTACTTTCTCTATGAGATGCGTTTCTCTCTCTCTAGGAATCGCTTCATATCTCTCTAGCCTATGGTTTCTTGTTTACATAGATAGATATGAATCTCCTTTTGCACGCATTTTGATCGGAACATGAATGTCAAAGCGAAGCCACTTTGTATCAGCATCAAGGTGCCAATCATAGGGTAAGCACTTCACCTCAAGGCTCCTTATGTGCCAACCACGCAAGGGGAAAAAATATTGAAACCACTAAGAGAATGCCAAGTGGACTCACTGACTCTATATTTTTTTTCCGGCCAATTGTTGAACGCCACATGGCGTTCCACATTAGGATCCAACCAATCAGAGGTCGACACGTGGAGGGGCGATAAAAAGTCCATTTATGCTCATGCTCATAATTATTGTGCACTAAACTCGAATTTAACCCAGAGACGAGAGAATACCCGCAGGTTCACAAAAAGGGAACACTTGGTTAGCAAGTTTTTACAAAGTGCTTATTGTGAGTGTTACCCAATCAAGTTGAGATTCCTTAACAAGAAACCAACCAGAGACAATTTGGCAATCACGAGATGGAAAGTCACTATCCTTTTAGTAGGTGAATATCTGTGTATTATATGTGTTTCTCTCTCTAGATTCCTCATGTGGTAATAGGCCCTGGCTTAGGTGAGTATGAGTGTATTATATATGTGTTTCTCTCTCTAGATTCCTAATCTGGTAATAGAACATGGCTTATAATAGCAACCATATTCAGCCAGCCATTTGTTTAGAGAGCTTCTAAAGAAAGTAATAATGGGGCAGGCTCTTTCCATGGCAAGGCAAAGGAGATTCTGATATATAGTAGACAACTTTAGGCAACCTTCTCAAAAATGAATACCAGTTGGTTTAGTTTGATAAGAACCCATCAACCATTAATGGACATTATGAGGCTGCCATTTTAATGGGTCATCTCTATTTTCCTAGAATTTTTTTGGAGTTTATAATGTGAGGTCATTGGCTGACCCAACAATAAAAAACATTGATTCATATGGAATTTTTCAGATAATGAATAAGAGACTGGCAGGATAATAAGAACTAAGAGAGAGAGAGAGAGAGAGAGAGAGAGAGAGAGAGAGAGAGAGAGAGAGAGAGAGAGAGAGAG